ACCTTTCCCAGTATATAAATTCACGAATTTGTATTTCCTAATGTCTTGCAATACGTTTAGAAGGTTTATACTTGTTTAATTCATGGACATCATTGTGAAAAAATATACCCCAATGGTATTATTTTAAGAAACAAAACCCAAGGATCATGGGGCACTAGTTCCAAGGGAAACTTACCATGATCTACAGGTATGTTTTTCTTGAGGGTCATTGCAAGACACAGTAGAATTTCAGCAGTCTCATTTACAATCACACTCATCCTCAATAGCCATATTTATGGCTTCCTGTGTAATGAGGTGATTTATCATGGTATGTCAACCATAGAGAATTCAGTATAAATGAATTTGGTTTCTTAAAAAAAGGCATTTATATCTAAACACTTTTACAGTAATCTGACATTGCTCTTTAAAGGTAAGTACATATGATGTGATTTGCATATGAAGAAACCATGCATTACTCTTACTTGACTGACTGTCAGCTTCAGTAGCTGCACCTGGTAGTGCCCAGGTCTGTCATTGTTTCCATGATAGAGCTCATTTTTCAAGGGTTAATAACATAGACCTTAACATTCACTTTGGGTTGAAACTTGGCAACCACTATGAGTTTATAGCCTTAGGAACTGATTTTAAACAAAAATGGTTTAAATTGATTTACCCTTTTCAAATTACAGTATGTCAAAATAATAGTACTCTGCATCAGTTTTAATGCTTTACATTTATTTAATGTTAAAATTTGTAAGCTATTATTCCCGGGTGATGATTGGGAGTTAAATGAACATTGGTTTCCATTGACAATTTCAAAATAAATTTGCTAACTTTGATTATTTTTCTTTGGTAATATCATTGCTTTCTGAAAGAAGAAATGTTGTTGCTCTCACCTTTATTAGAAGAGAGCAGCTGTGGCTGTGAATGCAATTTGAAAAGAATGATAGAAATAAAATGTTGGAAGTCACGTTTAGTTGTGTAACGTCCTGATCTCACAAAGGATTTCTCTCAGCTCAGCACCTCTGAGTGGTATTTGAACTAAGTTAAGCTGGGATATGTGTAGTTGCTTGTGGTCTTAAGCTTTTCAGTTTTGAAAACTACACTTAGAAAGAAGAGGATATTTGTATTTCCACTGCAGCACAAACTTTTTTTATTTCATTGAAATGTACATTTTTATTTTATATACATTTATTTAAAATATGAACACTTCAAGCCTCTTTACTGAGTCAACAAAAGTTAAAACACCATATTCATTTCTCTCCCTTTAAAATTACTTAGGTGTCAGCATATTTTGTATATTTAATGTACAGCCACATTCTAAAGAAAAAAATGCTGCTGGGCTATATCTATACTGAAGCCATCTTCTCAATGAGAGAAGAGCTGGACTAATGAGGACATCATACTGTCAATTTTTAAACTTTGATCAATTTTTGACTGAGAATGATACAGACAGAAATTTGGAGGAAAAGTTCTGACATATATTAGACACAAGGAGACTAGGACATCATGTGTCAAAAGCTACAACTTTGTTCTTGTATTGAACAAAGACATGGCTGAAGAATAAGAAAAGCTATAAAGTAGTTAGTACTATAGAGTGTTCTGTAATAAATTACAGACAGGAGGATGATGAAATATAGTCTGGATGTAGCAAAGGTATACAGAAGGAATAGCATTAGCCTTGGAACCAGGCAGTTTTGGTTTAGAATTCTTTTATCACTTATTAGGTCATTTTGGCAACCTTGAATTCACTAATTTTCCTTGCTGATTTTCAGTGAGGTATGAGTAGTGACGGACTTCCAGTGTTTTTATAACAATTAAAATAATGTATGTAAAGTATTTGTCATCTAGCCATTGCTCAGCAAATGGTGTTATGATGGTGTAATTGTAAGAATTTAAATAGTGAACTTACATCTAAGACCATACCACCTTGAATGTGCCAGATCTTGTCTAAAAAGTGCTTAGAAGTCATAAAAAGTTTCTTTCAGTCATATTACCTTCTCTTGAGGGATCTCAGAAAGTGCACTTATATCCAAAGTCTTTTTGGTAGCAGATTTTTCAGAAATCTTCATAATTTCTCCATATGAAACTTACACTCAGGACAAGGACACTTCACCAAAAGTGGCCTGTGAAATGGTTAAGGAGGATAATGCTTCTCAAAGAGGTACCTAAAATATCTATACACATGGTGTCTGACCAACTAATCTTATCCTCTCTTAGGGAAAGTTTAAATTCTGGTCATACATAAAATGATAACGCAGGTAGGAGGTAAAACAGAAAGACATACAGAGAGAAGACAATAAACATCCATGAGCTAGAAAAGAGAATAGAGAGAAGCCATAGTATGGTGATAGCAAATAAATCAGTTGTGTCCAAACCAGTAAAGCAGAACCACTATGAACAGCTGGACCACTATAATGGTAGAACAATTGCGCCATGAATAGATACTTCTGGAGGGGAAACTGTGAGTGGCTGTGGAGTGCTTCCCACTGCTCCTGCCCTATTGGAGCTACTGTTATACTTAGAATGATATTCCAGTGCTACTTTAGGTCTGGCTGTATGTGGCTTTTGTGTGATTTCCTGTCTCTTATTTCCCCAGTTATGTTACAATAAAGCCCCTTTAACTGAAGCAATTTGAGTATGTAATCCAAAAAAGGCCAACACATTCCCACAGATTGATTTGTAGGTCAAGGCCAGCTTAGAGAAAGGACCTCCCATATCTTCCCTTGAGTCCATGTGAAGTTATGGATGTGTGAAGCACAGTGGTATTTGTGAGAAATTTTGAAGTGTTTCTAGATCATACAACATGAGTCAGGAATAAGTGAGAGATGAAGCTGGAGAGATCAGTAGGGAAAGAGAGCTCTTTAAGGCAAAGTATGAAATGTGAAGGAGCTTGGAACGTTGTGGAGAGAAGCAATTAAAGGGTTTCTGAGAAGGGGAATGATACCATTAGACTTTTGGGTATATCAGCCTGGTGGTTTTGCAGAAGATTGAGGGCAGCAAGGCCAAATAAAGGGAGACAGATACAGAGGCTGGTGAAGAGACTACTAGCTTCTGATTACCAGGGCTTTCACTAAGGGATAAGCAGTAGGGATGGAGAGGAGGGTATGATATTCAATAACATTTTAATTGATTAAGTCAGAAATGCTTGGTTAATGTAGAGAATGAAATAGACAGTCAAGGGTGACTTCTAAACTTCTGGTTTGGATGTCTCAGGGGATAGAGTTGATATTAATTTAGAAAGAGAATATAGCAAGAAGAAATGAGTTTGGGAGAAGATGATAAATGTCACTTTGGACATGCTAAGTTTATGATGTCTACAGGACATTCAGGTAGAGTTGTTTAGAGTATATGTATGAATAGAAAAATCAGGGGAGAAATCAGTGCTGGAGGTAAAGGACACATCCACTTTTATGTGGTATTTAGAGTCACAAGGGTGAAAGAAGTTATCTGAGGGTAAAGGAGGAATAGCATTTAGAAGGTGAAGAAACACCACTGAAGTGGTAGGTAGAGGAAGAGTAGCCCATGTCAAAAGGAGAGAAGTAGTGAGTAGATTGGAGAAAATCAGGAAAGGATGGTTGAATTGAAGTCAAGGTAGAATAGAGTTTCATTAAGCAGGAGATAATTATTAACAGAATTCAGTGTAGCTAGTGAAATACAGAACAATGATTACTGAAATAATGACAGTTTCAGTAGAAAGGAAGGTATAGAGGACATTGCAATGGAGCTGCAAATGAAAATGATGGATGCTGATGTTTTGAACAGTTTTGCTGGTGATATGGTGGGGTGGTGAGAGCAGCTGGACCATAATTTGGGGCAGATATGGGGCTAAGGGAGATACGGAATCGAGGGAGAATTTTTTTTTCAAATGATGAGAGCAGCTTGAAGATGTTTATATGCTGAAAAGGAGACAGTAGGAAAGAGAGAGGCTGGCTTGAGGTGTATGTGGGAGAGGTTCACCTGATTAAATGATGTCCCAGAGGAAGAAGATGAGTCTTAAACAAAGGAAAACTCACCTTTTTTTCTGAGACTGAAATGAAAGTGTCAACGTATGTGGCCATAGATACAATTGTAGGTTGTAGTGAGTACAATGAGGTAGAAAGCTGGATGATGAGATCGTACCAATGAATTCAATTTTCCCAGTGAAGAGGGAGGCAATATCAACTGCTGTGAATGAGAGGGGCAGGGTTGAGCATCTGTGGAGACTGGAGAAAGTCTGGAACTACCAGTTACTTTCAGGAGTAGAAGAGGAAGCTGATTATAAGCAGTTAAAATGCTGCTTAGAACCAGAGGGCAGAGAAATTCAGACATTATGAATGTATAGTGATGCCCTTCTACAAGGTTATATGATTTTTCTTTTTCTAGGCAGTACTCAGCTGCCTATAATTAGGCTTATATTTTAAAACTACACTCAAGTTTTTCATGCGTGGTTACTCAAATATGAATTTTCAAATCTTTGGTTTATTTTACATGCAATTTTGAAATGAAAGTCAGGGGACCTTCACAATGAGATGGTAGCATCTGGGGTGGGCACTGTGGAGTGATTCATAATCCTATTTCATATTTAGTTAGATTTTTCACGTCATGCCACATTCTCTTGTGGAGAGCATATATTTGGCTTTTAAATAAAGTGCATTCAAATTTGGGGAGGAGATTTTAAAGAATTTGTTATTATTTCCTGGGGCACCTTGAGTATCCAAGAACCAAAATAATTGTTGCAGCTATTGCCACTTGCTTCCTGGCAGAAAACATATTCGAGCATTAGCTCAAGCAAAAACACCTAAAACAGTAGATTTATGGTCTTTAACACTTGGATGCAACTGATTTGCTTGTCGCATCATCCTCATTGTCCATGTTAACTCCCAAAGACAGAGAAGTAGTTCGATATACAATAAAGGCTTATATGAAGCTTTGCTCCCAGCTCCAACTGAATGCCAAATTTGAGTTTGAAAACGCTGGCAGAAATCTTTCCTTATAAGGATTTATTACTTTTGTTTTCTCTTTTGCTCCTCAACTTCTAGCTGGACCTGTGGACCTGTGAAGAACTATTGAAACAGCTGTAGAGGAACTGTACTGGAGGCAGTAATGGCTCCTTTAGTGGCAGAGAATAGAAAGCTCTTGAAAACAAAGCCTATTGTCAGGAGACTTGCACCCATCCTGGCCTACTTCCAAGTGTGAGTGAAATAACATTTAATTTCTGAAGTAGAGATTTGAACCAAATTGTTAACCTCTCAAAGTTTAACCACCAAAGGGTGATGGTAATGTTTTAAAAAATTAAATTAAAATGTCTGAGTTTTGGTAATAATTATAATATAACACTTATTCTTCTCAATTGTCTTTCACTAAATTTTGCCTTAAATTACCACTCAAATTTTTCATGTGTGACTCCTTGGAAGTAGAATTCTTTCTTTGGTGTTAGTATATTATAAAATATTAGTTGCACAGGTTACTTTTAGATATTCAGTTTATTTGATTTGAAAACTTTACCAAATAATTTGCCTCTAGATTAAAATTAGCAGAAGATTTATCTACATTAGCTTTACAAATAGAGGGACCAAAGAGTATTGATTATCAGACTGTAAGGAATTATGTATTGCACAAAGTTCAAACCAAAACAGATAAGTGGCTTGTCATATAAACATTTATGAGCGAATGGAATGACAGTCCTCATTTGAAAGCAACTAGTATAAATTTGGCCCATACCACAGTGGGTGTGAAAATTGCAAGGTAAAATAAAACAGATGAGACCATTTAAGTTTGAAATGGAAGAACAGATCACTGGCAACAGCTATTTACTTTCACAGTCACTAAAATAGGGTGTTTTGTTGTGAAAACTATCAATACACGGTGATGGATACCCTGCTTAAAGTGCCAATATGATGCCATTCTGAACTGCAAAACGATTTCGTTACAAGCGTATGGGGAACCTTTAAACATGACATTACGATGCGACTATAATGTAAGATAACAATGGAAAAACAATTTCAGAGTAAGTGTAAGGAGACTATAACCATGCAGTTAGAAGGCCACTGGAATGTGAGATTATAATAGCTCAGCATTAAAATGGTGAAAAGGATATGGCCAATTGCTTTTTTTTTTTTTAACTGGAAATAACCTAGACAACATTTATACTCATGAATAGTAAAGTCATAGAATGTATTTAGGGAGGAGGAAGCTCAGCACTGGTATATCTGGCTCTTATCCTCATTCTGAAGTGTATTCCCATTTTTTTTTCCATTTCTTGAGGTTAAGTTGGAGACAGTTTTTGTTCGACCTTATCAGTCTCCTCCAACCATACCACTTTGAAGATCTGTTGCAAGTTCAAAAACATTTTCTTTCTGACTCACATCTAGCCCTATGACTTGGCTGCTTTGGCCACCTATGGGATATAATTTGAGTTCAACTAGGACAATTTCCTACTGCTCATTTTATCTCCCTGGCTTCCAGTTATCACTGGACCTCAGCTGAAACCTTACCATTGGAATATGTTTCTTTGAGTCTAAAATGATTTTTAAAAAATTTTTGAGCGTATATAATGAATTAAAATTTAATAAACATCAATTTATAAAATATTAGTACCAGTTAGAGGTAACATATTAAACTTAAATGACCTAAGAGCACAGACTTTGTCATTAGACAGACCTGAGTTCATATTTCAGCCCTTCTACTTAGTTATGTATGAATATGTGCATGTCATTACTTTTCTAAGTCTTGAGTTCCTCATCTGCAAAATAGGTCTAATACCAGTACTTAGTTCTTAGGGTAATTGTAATGTGAAATAGATACCATGTGTAAATGCCTTGTACAGTGCCCAGCCAATATGAGGGATTTAATAAATATTATCTCCTTACAGATATAGAAAGGGAGGAGGGAATGGGTCAAGACACTGGAGAGTAGTAAAGGAGAGAGAACGGAGCATAGTGACAATGGTAATATGATTAGGAAGAAGGTTTCTCCCTAATCTTGACCTACTTACAGCTTATTTTATTTATTTATTTATTTATTTATTTATTTATTTATTTATTTATTTATTTATTTATTTTGAGACGGAGTTTTACTCTTGTTACCCAGGCTGGAGGGCAATGGCACCATCTCGGCTCACTGCAACCTCCACCTCCTGGGTTCAGGCAATTCTCTGCCTCAGCCTCCTGAGTAGCTGGGATTGCAGGCACGCGCCACCATGCCCAGCTAATTTTTTGTATTTTTAGTAGAGATGGGGTTTCACCATGTCAACCATGATGGTCTCGATCTCTTGACCTCGTGATCCACCCGCCTTGGCCTCCCAAAGTACTGGGATTACAGGCTCGAGCCACCGCGTCCAGCCCTTATAGTTTATTTTTGAGCTACTCCAGTTCAATTCTAATTAAGCAGCCTCTTAGTCTCAATTATCTAAGGTATGCTTGTATTTCGTTATCTCTTCCTGTTCTTCTGCATCTTTGGATTATTGTGTTTGTCCACAGTTACTGTCACACTTGATACTGTTCTATCTATGATAACGGGACATTCTATCCTTAGAAGATGACTTGTGGCCACTGTCTGAGCTGTTCCTCACTGGGGCTCCTTACTCTAGGCTTCTATCTTACATGGTGATGCCTTAAATAATCTCATCTTGGATTCCAACGTGGGGTGGTCATTTCCCAGCTCCTGAGATTACACAGAAGTGTGTAAATAGGAATTTTATTATACCTCCGAACCAATTTTAAATCTATTCATCCATATCAAACTTATAGACCAATTCACTAATAAGATCAAACAATTTTGTGAGCATAGAATAAAACATTTTCTCCCCAGATATTTTCTTCTTGTAAGATTCTTCATTTTAGCTATGGTATTAGTTTTTGTCTAAAGCCCTCATAGCATTACCGAGCATTCTCATGAAGGAGTTACCTGGCTTTAAAAATATTTTCTTCTATTACTCCAGTTTAGTGACCCCATTCACCATATGATTGGTTAGTTTCCTTAAAAGTCTTTCTATAGGGATAGGAATAACTCACTCAGAGTGCAAGGCCCCTGTTGAACATACTTATGGTCCTAGGTACTAGCAGAACCAGTCATTGAAGGTGATTCATAAATGATTTTTGGAGTAAACTTCATGTAGACTACAAACCAATCCAAATTATTCAAGGCAGCGTAATCTGGGTGACCTGGAATGCAATGCTGCAACATAACTACTTTGCACTCAGCCCATAATGAGCACCAACTATGTGAAAGATGTGAAGATAATGATTTTCTCACATGGAGATAAGATTGAGGAAGAAACATGTTTGCTGTGTGTCTCCTGTGTGCTGGACTTCGTATGCCTTACTTCATGCACTTAATCTTAACAACCCCGAGTTGTTTTGTTATTTTGTCGTAAATGTGCATTATCATTCATATTTTATAAACAATGAGACTAAGAAAGGTTGAAAGACTTGTCTGAGGTTACATACATGGAGTGTTGAAGCTAGCTTTGAACATGACTGTCTGGTTACAAATCCTCTGCTATTTACACTCTATCACATTGCTGCACCTTGTGTGAATTCAATTACAATCCAGTAGAGGAAAAAATAAAAGAACATAAAGAACTGGATGGCAAAGTAATCGGTGATAAGTACCATGTGAGTAGAATGAAAAGTACCAAAGGGTTTGAAAGAGGAAAAGTTTATTTTTGCCTGGGTTCTGTCTTCACTGTGGCATTTATCTTTTTTTTTTTCCCCTATCTTCTCTTTGGGGATGCTGTTTTCCCTCACTGGTGTGCTTCTCTGCTACCAAGCAATGGTCAACTCTGACTTCTTAAACTGCCTAAGCCAGCAGTTATTGCCTAAAATAAAAACCTGAGTCCCTAGACTCCTTGTTATGTTCCATATCTCTTCTATTCTAATTTTTTTTTCCTCCAGAAGTGTTTCCCCTAGATGACTCTTCTATCTCTGCAATATGTTAAAAGTATACTTACTCTTTGAGGCACAACCAAGTCAAATGCACCTTCTGGGAACTCTTCTCCCATCAGAATCAGTGACAATTTCTCTCTTGTCTCTCAGCACATTGGCTATATAACTATTTGATACTTCTTACCTATTGTTTAGCATGGTCGAGTATCCTGGCATCAGGTTAAGTTATGTTTTCTTTTTATTATTTTTATTGCATTTTAGGTTTTGGGGTACATGTGCAGAACATACAAGATAGTTGCATAGGTACACACGTGGCAGTGTGATTTGCTGTCTTCCTCCCCTTCACCAGTTATGTTTTCTTTTAGGATTTGGACATTTACTGGCACATCTGTCATACTCGTGAGGTGGACCTGATAGGAGTCCATCTAGCTGAGTTATGGAGAAGTGTCTTTTGGGGGCAGGAATGATATTAGGTAACAAGAGAATCCAAAACACATCCTTTGTCCAAAAACCATCATCTTTATGGTAAGAAGATGGGATTTCTTTGAAGAGTCCAGCCTTTCTCCCACCAACATGTAGTTATGTCGGGGGGAAAAAGGTGGTGCAATGTGAAAGAGGATATAACTAAAACATCTGAAAACTTTTTTCATATGAATTGTGAGATTTTGGGGACAAGAAGGTAGCATTGCTAGAAACCAACATTCAGAGTAACATTGTATGAACATGGTATCATTATTAGGGCATAATATGGCAAGTGCATTGGGACTGTGGAAGTTACAGCCTGGTTTTAGGTCATCACATGCTTCAGCGCAGTATCTCTGTACCTGAAGTCTATAGATTTCTGGGGGCGGGGGAGGTTAAGCTCCATGGCTAAAAGTTCACAATTCCATAAGCACATGATATATTGTCAATGGACAAAACAGTGTTTCCTGAATGAATGCACTACTTCCTTTCAAATATGTATAGAGATGCTTATGAATAAATATGTTTATTTAAATGATTATTAAACTTACAGTCACGTCATTAAGTATTTTTTCAATTAATAGACACTAAAACATACCTATTTTTTGACAAATGTGAATATGAAACCTTTTAAGGTTAAAAAGGTGTTCCCATACTCATAGAGGATTATTGGTGAGGAGTAGAGTTAGTGACATCTGGTGGTGGCAGTTCCTACTAGACTGATTAGCTCCAAGTGTACTAGCTCTTCTTGCTATTTAACACACAAACATTGGTGACTGGCATTTAGGAAGTCAATGTGGAATGAATGAATAAGAGAATGAATTAATAGTTTTTGGGTTGAGAAA